ATTTTTGTATGTAGGACGCTCTATAGCACACGCTGATTGAGTTTGTTTCAAAAAGCCAATGACTATTCTCGTTTTGGCCTAATCGGCCCCAAATTTACCAGTTTAACTCCGAATTTGAAAAATAAGCGCAATTCGATTAATAGAGACTTGGGATTTGCCAAATATGTTGATATGCATGTCATTCTCACATTCTGAAAAATTTGTTTACAAATGAATCGCCATAATATAGCCCGAATTGCGTGTATTTGTGTGCGTACATATGCCGATTCTTATGTGTGCAGCAAAGAAGCGTAACATGATTGGAATATCAGCTCTTCGTAGGATTCAGGATATCTCGTAGTCAAGCAGTCTCAACTAGAGCACTCTTATATTATTATATGATGCTGTTTTTCTGCCGCTCTTCTTGATTATTATTAATATGCGCTGSCACTGAGCTTCTTCTTCTTCTTTTTTGTATATTAATATTCTTGTAGTCTGCCTTGTACATTTGCTGTTTACCAGTTGCCAATTGGCCTTTGGTTCGTTGGGAAATGTTGCAAAATGTTTAACAGACAATTAATTTAATGTAGCACAAGCAGCAACTGCAACAGCAGCCACAAGCAACAGCAGCAGCAGCAGCAACAACAGCAGCAGAAACAGCAACAACAACAACAGTGAAAACGACAGCAGGAGTAAAGGCAGCTGAAGCGGCAACGCATTAAATCGTTTATAAATCACTTTCGACAACTTTTATATTCCCACGCACACACAAACACACGCCAACGGAAATACGAACAGACACACACACACACACACATACACACACGCACAGTCTCACATGTATTTTCAGTAAACTACATACGTTTTTGGGCAAGTGCAATAAAATGTCATTTATTGTGGATGCGGTCGAGCCGGAGGCAATAAGTTTCGATTTGTAACTGCGGCGCTCGCATGGACAGTAAACAATTAATTCGCGATTCCATAACCAATCTACAAATAATGCCATAAGCCTTTAAGCTTCTTCCAACAAAATGAAAGAGACAAAAAACCAAAATCAAAAACAAAAACAAATATGCAGGCTAAATTGATTTTGAGCAAAAAATTGTCACAATTTTTGGCTTTTGATTTTCTCCTCCTTTTTCCCTCTCTCTCTCTCTCTCTCGCTCTCTCTCTCTTTCTCTCACGCGGCCACTGCGCTGCTCGACAATTAGTGAAAAGTGTTCCATATTTGACTTTCGCCCAAAAAAATATGCGTCATTTTATAGTCGGCAATTTATGGATGAATTGAAGCCATTCAAAAGTGAGTGAAATTTGATTGGAAATCCATTTTTTCTTAAATTTTAATTAATTTGCCAATTTAAGACCAATCTCGGATTTCAACAAAAGTTTACACTGATTAAACTTTAATCTTAGAATGCTTAAAGTAGGAGCAGCAAAGAAGTTAAGAAGTACTACAAAAGGTAGCCAAGCCCAGCTAACTTGATGGAGCCATAAGATTTCATCAAATAGCCCAAGAGATAACGAGCTAAACCAAATGTTTTACAACTCCATGTAGCTTATTTATCCGTCTGAGGTGCAGTAAGCTCATTCAAAATTTCTATATCTGAGAATTTTACTCAACAGATAGAAGTAATATTTTTCCATAATTGCAATTTATATAAAATGTATAAAAAAAAAATAAAGCATCAAAATATAATTGTTAATTATATTTGAAGTATTTATTTTGTTTTTTTTTTTTATTATTA